GGCGAGCGGTTGTGCATTATGATCTGCACAAACCCAACCGATAGTATCGGCGGAAATTTTTTATCTGGGTCTTCTCAACCACTCAGTCGATATCAAGAATCAAAACAGACCCTTGGACGGAATGCTTTGCTTCGCGGTAAAGTAATGCATTTCATGCCACACATTATTTCTACTTTCGAAATTGCGAAATTACAGTATTTGACAAGGCTAATGGTCAAGTTAAAGTTTTGAGAATGGATTCATTATACCCCTATCAAAATGGCATTAATTACAAAATGTCTGTGTTCATTATATCTCAATTGTAAATGTAACGAGTAAAAGATCGGAGAGAAAAGTCGAGTGATAAATACCCAGTTCGAAAATTAAGAAAAACTTATTCCAGGTAGTTCGTATACCTATTGATTTTGAATATTTCTTTGCTGTTATAAGAACTTGTCATTTTGCTTCAGCAACCAATTAAGTAGAAAATGAATAACGAGGACGAGGTCATCAAACGTTTTTACCAACTCAGAGCATTCGTTGGCAGATAGTGGAATAAATTCGAACATTGGGAATGTACATTTATCTCCCCTCTTACAATAATTTCGACTTCTTCTGTGTGATTATTATTTGTTCGAAAGGTCATTTCTACTCATTTAGGGAATGCCTAAAACAGAGTGAAAGGCATTGATGATTTTTATACAGAGCTGTGAGAGGCTAAAGAGACTATGGCGCTTGCTACAGAATCATCATATCTTCGAAACAAATATAATCATGTGTCACCAATGATAAGCTGAAATGTTTGATTGCAGGTAACTCTAAAGAAATATTCTCGACATTCGCATCGAATAACTGAAGTCTAATTTTCACCGGAAGGTAGTAAATAAAAGGCACCGAAATTAGTGTTGCGTCTTAGCGCATGCGCAGTATCAAATGGATGCGACATCGTCAACAAATCAACGATGATTCAAAAAATGGAGATTCGAAATGAAAGCATGTTGTTAATAAAATATCTCCCAAAATACATCCAAGTTTTCAAACATCAATGTATTTAAAACTGGCTTACTGACCTCTAACATTAATGTTCACTCGAGGGTGATTTAATTTGACTGAAATAATTTTTGTTTTATAAATGGGACATTACAAGGAAAATACAAAAAAATTCAGTACACTTTTATAAACTGTCTGAACAATACAAAAACAATATTGACATTTATTCCCGAAAACTCCAGTAACTTATTATTCACACATTACCACTTAGTCTGAAAAATGTTCAATTTACGAGTCTGAAAATTAATGTAATAGTTTATGGTACGTTTTTCCATTCAAAAATAAAATATTGAAGGAGCGTAGAAATTTCAGAGCACAAAACATCAACGTTAAACAAAATTTATATATTTTTTCGGTATTAGAGCCCCGCATTAAGAGATTTTCTGTCGAATAAACGCTTTGGTCACCCAGTATTACAATACTTTCCTACACTAAGTAAATAGTAGGCGAGAGAGTAAAAATATGCTTCAATAATACCTATATTAAATACATCGATTTTATATAAAACTATCGATGTTCCAAAAACATCGGCATTGCATCCCTGGAGAACCACGCTGGGCAAACCGACGGGCAGCAACCGCTCCCCCTCGTGTGTGCTCGGCACCGTACGCGAGGGGAGACGGCGAGGGTGGCGACGACGACGAAGGCGGCGGTGGCGGTGGCGGCGGCCCTCGCTTGTGGATTATGGTAGACTCGCTACCGCCAACACCGCCACTGCCGCACGTTCGTGCATCCGTCCGCACGCACGTGCGCTCGTGTAACACGACCCCCTTCACACGTAGGACGCGATAAAGTTGAGCGGGCCCTTCCCCTGCCGGTTGTATCCCTCCCCCTTTTGACGCTCTTTTGATTTAATTGACGACTTCTGCGACACGTCTCAGGGAAAATCGACAGCCGGAGGAGTTGTAGCGACATGTTTTGAAGTTAGAGATTAGCTGATTTATCGGTGGTTGATATACACAAGACGGAATAATGAATGACAAATGTGTAATCTTTGCGAGAACAGGCTCTCGTTTGCTACTCAATTCAGACAAAAGTCTGTCCTCGAGACGCATGAATACGAAACTAAGAGAAAGCTGGTTCGGCCTCACAGAAGTACCGATATTATGGGCTCTTAGAGTACATATTTTATTCCACACCCATCTTATCTAAATGTATTACTGCAGTACACCCCCCCCCCGGAAGAGGAAGTTAAGTAAAGAATTATAGAGAAAGGCTTGGTGAGCGGAATGTATTCTAGAACCTACTGATTCCAAGCGTAACTTAAGTGTGCGTAACTGTTCATGATTAATGTACGAATATACTCTAACGATGGTTAAAACCCATGTAAACTAAGCCCAAAACAATCCCCTACTTTTTTCTCTGTAATGACTCAAGGACTTTTCTAAAAAATGGTAAGTGATAATTGGTGGCTGTAGTACGTCAGCGGTCCATTCAACATTAAAAAAAATATAATTGTAAGTAAATTAAAATAGAAATCGTGGAGTCATTTGCTTCACCGTCAAAACAAACCAACCCCTCCTCGAATATGAGAAATGGCCACGATTACTTTTCTCTTCTTTGGACGACATTTAACTGGAATATTTCCTTTTGCAGTTGTAAACTATGAGTGCAGCGTTATAAAAACATCGACATGTGATATACGTTGGTCTCAATGCGAACAACGTAGGAATTCGCTCGTTCACGCGAAGACAAAAAAACGGGTCGACAAGAAGCGCAGGGCCGGTCTCCTCGCGCGCAGTCGGTAATTTGCGCGCGTAACAACGTATGAAAACCACTTGATCCCGCATTCATGTTGTTAGCATTGGGCGCGCGGCCCGCGTGGGGCGCATTGTGTTCGCGTCCCCTCGCACAGCGAGTGAGGGCGACGGCCCCGAGCGGTGCGCGGACGCTGCGTCGGGGCGGGGGGGGCGGCGGCTATAAGGGTGATATGGGTGGAGTACGGCGGAGGCGGTGACGGGCGTGGAGGCGGAAGGCGACGGGGTGAAGGTAGCGATGGGGGTCCAGGTGATAGTGGCGAAATGGAAAAGAAAAGGTACGGAGGAGTCTGAACAGAACTGGAGTCAGGTGGGACGGTGCAATGGGGTGATGCAGTACCAGTATCAGAGGTGGTCAAGGATAATATGGGGCAGAGGTGAAGTCCTGGATGGACAAGGGAGTGTGCCTAGGACGGAGGTGGTGATGGTGGTAATTGATTTGATTTGATTGATTGATTAGTGTTTCCGGGCGCGTCAACATCTAAGATTAGTCCCGTAAGTGTAGGGCATGTTTTCGTCGCAGGGTGTAGCTGTCATCTTCCCCCGCTGGATGGCGGATTCTGCCGCCGGCCTACCGGCGGCTAGCGGGAGTCAACAAGGTATCTCTCGCCAGCGGAGCACCGCACCACCCGAGACAAGCTGTATGATTATGGTAAATAATTAAAGCGACTGTGGTCTTAGTTGTCATTAAATCTGGTGGTTGTGTTGTTAGTTGTGATACGGAAAACCGAGAGTGAGATGATTTATGGACGGACTCTGATAGTGTGGACATGCTTAAGCGCAAACAGGTGGTGATACCACTCTCGCAATTGAGACGGATGTGGTTTTACCAGGTCCCGGTGGAATCAGGTAGACGACGTAACTAATTTTTCGAATATAACATTTCATATTAATAAACGCAGATGTTTGATAATTCACAATTTTATTAATAGTTTAACAAGCTTTTTTATGCAATTTGGTCAATTGTCGAGCGAGTATTTGATGTTCGTTAATTAAAGAAATTGTGTGGTTTTAGGATCATCTAATAAAATCACCAGAATGCATTTGTATAAGGCACAGAATATTGAAGAACCGCTCTCGGACAATTATCAGAAGTTTACCCATTGTGGAGAAGTTTATGGTGTGCAGAGTTTGTCAACCATTGTTTACTAATTTACATTATATTCGGCACAGAGCGGATGGTTCGGGAGCCGGTTAGTGGCTTACTGAAATCACACTTATTACGAACCAGTGAAAGCACACCACTTTCTGCAGTGGACACTGAAAGATAACGAAACATTATTTTCTGGCTATGTCAGTAATGATAATTGGTGAAATAATTCAAGTCATCTCCGTCAATTTAATGAATACATTCAGTTTACTGACATTGACTTTAATTATTTCATCATTTAATTACGTCAACAATACCTCATCACTAGGGGCGATTTTAAGGAAATGTATTTTTTTTCCTTTTCACTTTAAAACAAGACCGTTTAGTACAGAAATTAATTTTATGTTATTACAAAACGAATGTGTTCTGTACAACGTTTTGTAGCATTTTTCGTCGATTTCGGCTAAGAAATCATTTTTTATCTTTTTACGTCATTTTTAATACATTTCGCACTGATTTCATCGATTTTAATATCATTAAATAGTACTTACTTCTAACAATATTTACGATGTGCAACAAATATTCACCACAGAATTCCTGAGTAGTATTTTCGTTTCTTCGCTCATATATTATAATGTCAGCCATTGTGAGTACTATGTCATTTAACGTTCCTGTGACATCTATCGGCGCCATTGTCAGTTCCACCGTTTTCGCGATAAAGATAGAGATTTTCTTTTAAAGAACAGTCCACACCAAACGTTTGTAAGTAGAGTTCACTTGAACAAAAGGAAGAAGCCTCGTCTACATCAGTAACGTACCCAACGGCTTGAGTTGTTCATCTGAAGTGGTTTTGATAAAAATTTCCGTCATTTTTCTTTGTTTTACGGCATTTTAAAAACATTTTGAGAGAATTTTATTGATCATTTTTGGCTGTTTTTCGTCATCCCCCTACTCATCACCATTCACACAAATGTGTCAGGAATGCTGTTCCAATTCGAAAGAGAGTTCGCTTGGCCGAAAGAAACATCAGCACCTTCTGTCACAATATTCCGACATTCGGCAGAAAACGGGCGGCTCAAGAGCCAAAGGAGACGGCGGCGGCAGGGCCGTGCAGCGTCAAAACGTCATCGAACATCACCACCACGCCGCCGCAGGCTGCTCCGCTTGGGCGTCCGCGCCGCCCAGGTCCACGCACGTGGCAGAGTGGGCGTGGTGGCGGAGTCCTCCGCCTCGGGGGCGGGGGCTGACAAGGGCAATGCGAGTGCGGGCGTGAGCGTGGGCGGGGACAGAGGTGGCGACAACAGCGGCAGCAGCGGGCAGGGGCAAAGGGCGAGGCGGGAGCGTCTAGGATTCTGGGGGCTAGGAAAAGCGAAGGCGGGTTGCAGGGGCGGGGTGCAGGGCCGGTGCAGGGGCGGGTGCAGGGGCGGTGCAGGGGCGGGTGCAGGCGTGCGGGTGCAGGGGCGAACCGGGTGCAGGGGCGGGTGCAGGGGCGGGTGCAGGGGCGGTGCAGGGACGGGGGGGGATGCAGGGCGGCGCGGGTGCAGGGGAGGGTGCGGGGAGGGTGCAGGGAAGGGTGCAGGGGAGGGTGCAGGGGAGGGTGCGCAGGGGAGGGTGCCAGGGAGGGTGCAGGGGAGGGTGCAGGGGAGGGCGGAGGAGGTCTCAGGGATTGTGGTGAGTTCAGAAGGGGGAAGTGACAGCTAAGAGCGGGTGCCAGGTCGTTCGAGCAGGGGCGGGCGGGCGAGTAGGACGAGGAAGGGGCGAACGGGAGCGAGGGTGGTGCCGAGGCGGTTGGAGGCGCAGTGGTTTATTAGGCCCGGGCCTGGGGGAAAAAAGTGCCGAGCGGGTGGCGTGTCCACGTCGGAGCCGGAGCCAGAGCCAGCTCCGGGGGCGAGCGCGCGTGCGCGACTGGCGGAGCAGTGACAGATACGCGTCTCGCCCCCCCAACCCCGCCCGCGGGCGTCTGTCGCGCTCCTGATACACGTCGCGTCGCCCGCGCATCCCTGTCTGTAGACCTGAGCCCCACGATTCACGTTCCGCGCCTCGCATCCAACATCTCGCATGCGACGTGTTAAACGCCCCGCGTCGCTAAAAAATATAACAAAATAAAAACAACTAAAAAATGTTTTTTTGCGTTTTTCGCTTCACGTGCTGGGGGCCTCATTCTTTCTCGGGTTCATGTAAACTCTAGTAGTTGCTAGGTTACGGTTTCGTTCGCAAACGACGAAGGTGGAATCCTTGGGATTGAAAATGCGCAATACTGTTTGCATCAAACCGTGCGCAATTCAGGGTAACAATGACCTTCCACGTATTTCTTGATAATTTTCAAGTAAGAAGTTATGTAAGAAACATGCTTCATCTTTACAGCGTCACGGAAAAACGATCTTCATTTCGACATCTTTCCGGTGATTCTTCACAACTCCTGCGCGGGTTTCTGTAGCCAAAACTATATTGATTTTCGTAGTTTCACACATCCTAATACAAGTTAACTCAAAGGAATGATATACACGTACAATGCAATTTAATGTTGTAACGTTAGAAAGTTCGGGTTTACACTATTTGATGTGATTTCATAACCGTGCGAAATGTGAACATGTTCACCTGTCAATTCTGTCAGCCAATTACCGCATACCATGTCATTTCGCATTCCAGACTCCTTTCATTCCCAGCCCCTTACTCGTGATTCGCCCTTCTCGTTCTCAATTTCTTCAGCGCCATGCAATAATCCTTAATCCCAACTTAATTTCCACACGTCTCGAGCGCTGTTGTCAATGTTCAAAGCTCATAGTTTAACATTCCTCGGCCTGCGTGCCGTTCTAAATCCCACAATTCCCAAAGTATCTCGTATCTCACACGTCAAGTATTCCTTACCAATACGATCCTCTTGTACTTTCTTCATTCCTTCAGTTCGATTTTCAAACTGATGTAAACTGACGCAGATGTTTTGCTTCAACGTAGTCTCATGCGTGTTATACGAGAAAACATCTAGCACTACTTAAATCATAAATTGCTTAAAAACGACGCTATTGCTTAGTTATTGTCTAATGATACATGATATCATTTAAAAATAAGACTATTCGCACACTCAACTGATAAAGCGAATGTTATTCTTGGAGACAACTCTAAATGCAATACCGTTTACTCTATATCATTTTACATCGTTTGGCTTTTCCAATGGCCTTGTTGTGGCTTGTATCACCTACTGAACGATTATGCATATTTTAATCGGTAAAAATATACCGTTGAAGTAAACATTTCCAATGTCAATTCCAGCTAAAGGAGACGTTTAACCTGTTTCGTTAACGTGGGGTTGCATTCTTCACGTTGAGGCCTTTTAATATTCTAAACACCGGAAGCTATTAAAATGCGGTTTGGCGATAATGCACGGGAAGTCGTTAGCGATGTTATCGCAAATGCTGAAGTAAATGTTACATCGCTCTTCTGAAGCATCTCCGTTCTTTGCAAGAGCGCTGACATAGTCATTTCGCTACTTGCAACAATGCCGTGGGTCTTTCTCTTTTGCTTGCGGCCTGGCCTCTTGCTGGATGCGGCGGTCTGTACAACCATTATTTCCGCATGAGGACTGTGATGAGGTGATTCTGGCGCTATGGGCAGCATTTCTGATACTTTCGTCTTCTTGGTGAGGTTTTGCTTTATGGTATTATTTGCTGGATGCTAACCGAAACACCGCTATGACACACAATCAAACATTCCAACGCCATAGTGGAAGTCTAACCTTGTAGTGACTTAAGTTTTTGCTCGACTATCTATGCCCAACTGTAATGACAGTAAAGGTCAGGGCAAAACCCGTCTGAGGCCAACATATATTTCATTGTTCTATATTTTCCTATCCCAGTTATTACGCGTTTTGACTTTGGCGCAAACTGATCATAAAATATCTATGTTTAAGCAGTAAAAATCCTTCATATTAAGCAAGATTTTTGGTCTGATAAAATTGTCTGTTTTTTAGTGCAATTTCACTCATTACGACTGTCACGCCTACGTTTCACCCATTGTTTCAGTTAGATTTATTTCAATTCGAGTACTCGTTTTCTCCGTTGGTGATTTTTTTTTTCGTTCATTTATTTCCATTCCTTCGTTTCTTCCCCCCTTCTGACCCGTATCTTAATTGATTTTACACACTTCTATCTCGCAATAGACTCGCCTGTCCATATTGCCCCTCACTCTAGTGAGATAAGCGGCAATGAGATAAGATAAACAGACGTTTGCTCATTCACTGGCCCGTCAGGCTATTTTGCTAGTTTCTACAATTCGCGGTTTTCTTCCACGAGTTCTCCTACCCTTTAATTCGTCCACCCAGACGTTTGTTTTTTCATCTCTCTCTCTTTTTTTTCTTCTTTTCACTCCTTCGATCCGCATTTCCAGCAGTGCCGGAGAGCAATCCTTCATCTCGCCCTCGGTCCCTCTCTGGCGTTTTCCCATTCCGCCCACTCGCTCCCTTCTCCTCTCATCACCTGCCCTTCGCCCGCCCTTTTACGCCTCACCACTCTCCCTCGGCTCCTCTCGCCCACTCGGCCACTCACCTCGCCTTCCTCGCTCTCGCGCGCGCCCCCTGCCCTCCTCAGAGCCTCCAAGAGCGGCGCGCACTAAAACATAATCCCTCCCGCCTCGATGCACGATAATGAAATTCGGTACGTCTGTTTAATGAATCCCTCTGGTTATTATGGTGTCGTTAGGCGGCGGCGGCGGCGGCGGCGGCAGCGCTGGGACGAGGGAGAAGGACGGGAAAGGGAAGAGGAGGACGGCAGCGCGCGCGACCTCATCGCGAGAAAACGGGCACCCTTCGCCCACGCGCACAAAGGATCGCCCTCTTCCCCCACGCGCACAAGGATCGCCCTCTTCGCCCCGCCGCGCCCCCGCCCCCGCCTAGCTCCCTCGCCGCCATCCCTTTCGCGCCAATAGCGGCCGAACTTGCGGGCTGGAGTGGGCGGAGGTGGAGAGAGCGGCGCGGCAGCGGCGCGCGGGCGGCGGAAAGCAGTGTTCGCCGCTTCAAGCTCTCGAGTGTTTACCACAGCGCTCGCGGCGGCAAGGGGCGGGGGCGGGGCCAGGCGGGGCGGGGCCAGGGGCAGAGGTGGAGACGAACGAAGAACGAGGAGCCCGACGACTGAGAGGCGGCAGCGGAGCACGCAGGGACCCAGGCAGCGCGACGCGGGCGCTTACGTCTCGATTGTGTGTGTGTGTGTGTGTTGTGTGCTGTGTGGTGTGTGTGTGTGTGTGTTGTGATGGGAGCAGGGACGGCGAACCCGCCAGGCGATCCCGAGCGGTGGCGAGCCAGCGGAATGTGTCGGGACAGTTCCTCGATTTAGCTCCGGGACTCAAAAATCGATGCGGCCACCGCCGAGGAAAAAAAGTAGTACGGAAACCTGTATAGGACCGACTATAGCGAAGGGTAGGCGGCGGAAGGGCGCGATGCGGGCGAAGGGCGGGTTGTGCGCGGACGGCAGGCGGCGGCGGTGACGCGGCGATTTGAGGGTTGGCGGCGATGGGCGTAGCGGGGGCGACGACTAGCGCGCCGCGCATATGGTTCAAGAGGAGAAACAGCGGGCGGCGAAGGCGGCGTGGCAGCGGCGCTGTGTCTGTTGTCTGGCCAGCCCGTCTCTTCTCTCCCGCCTCTCACGTCCCCCTTCCCTGCGAGCCGAGTTCTCTTTTTATTTCGCCCGTGTCGCCGCGGCCGGCGGCGAGCAAGGTAGGACGCCCGTGGCGGCGGAAGGCGGGACCCGGCACGTGATCGGCTCGGCGGTGCGCGGTAGGCGGCGGAAGG